TTATACTAATGTGAGGTGTACTAAAACAGGTCGTTACTACGGAACCCGTTTACTGACATACTTCATACTCATTTCGTTTTTCCAGGTGAACTATAATGATATCTTGGCGCCCGTCGTCCATCATCTGTCAACTTTTCTTATAAATCACTTTTGGTCATGAACAACTGAGTGGATTTTAACCAAACTGGTCAGTAACAGCCCTGTTGGGAAGCGATTTTTTTGTATAAGCGATGGGCCTGAGGGGCGTATCCCTTTGAGTGAAATCAATCAACTTATCTAAATCTACCTTGTTCTTCAGGCATTGCAGGATATTGTCCAAATTTGGTCTGAAGCATGTTTAAAGGAAGGGAATCAATTTTGCATGAACGGTGGATATCAGCCTACTCGGATGGGAGAGATGGGGCGAATAGGACCAATACTTAGGTCAACATCTTAAAAGCCTGGATTTTGTCAAAATTTGGTATGATGCATGTTTTGGTGAAGGGAATAAGTTTTGTATGAACAGTTGGTTTCCGACCCTGGGGAAGGATGGGCGTCGGCCATTGGTGGAAATAGAGCAAACAAAAACCAGATGAGCGATACAAGACCTGTGGGCGTCTTTGTTGTTGTTTATTTTTAATTCAATGTTAGTGTTTGGTGACAAAAGTGTTTACTGACTTTTATCATGGCGGATTCTCGTTTGCAGATAGTGAAGATTTTTTCGCATGATGACATTTTAACTTTTTGCTCAAAAGCATGAGATTCGTCTCAGTAGCATACAATTAATACGGAAAAACAATAAGACAATAGTCATAAAAAAAACTGCCATTTCGTAAAAACGAGATAGCGTTTCGAAAATATTTAATAATATTTCGATAAAATGAATAAAAAATTCGATAAAACGAATTGATAGCTCGCAAAAACGAAAAAACTAACTCGATAGAACGAAACATTATATCGTAAAAACGAGACAACATTTCGTAAAAACGAGAAAAAAGTATAAAGCATGTCAGTAAACGGGTTCCATATAATACCCAAGTATATCAAGTTTTTTTTACTATGCATACATATACTATAATATCACTGCCATTAAGGCCAGGTAGATGATCCATTTTATTGTCACGCTTGCTAATTTTGGTGTTACATGGTTTATGAGATGACTATCACCATCGGAACTCCTGTAACATTAATCTTATGCCGACAGGTCTTATGGCTTTTATATTGATAAAAGACCCTAATCTAGTGTCAGATGGTCAAGTAAAGAAATAAAATGGTAAATATATGTAACTGATGTATAATCATCCTGCATTAAATATACGCTGTGATTTTAAATGTTTCCCGGATTTGTTATCGTTGTGAGTTTGGTATGATAAATGTTACTACAATAATTATTCTATGAATAAACAATCCATTGTTGTTGCTACTGTTACATATTGATATAAAGCACTAATGCCACCTGTGTATAATATTTACAATATGTTTCCACACAGTAAGATATACAACATTTACTGAGTATATAGTAAGAGACTGTGATTTACAGGCACCACTCTACTTACAACTATACACTGTCTGACTTGTATTTTACTTCCAGACGAGGTTGAATTGTAGAATAGCACAAAGTCAGTTAATTTATACTTTTTGTTATATATGAAAGAATTTCCAGCTGTTTATCACTTCCAATCGTACTTTTTGGGGATGTCGGGGTGGTGTACTTGGTTTTGCAGTTGTCGAATTTCTTGGCTAGGCGATTTGGTGTCGGTAGGTCGTGAGTTTGGGGCCTGGAAAGGACACAAATTGTCGTCCTTCGTCACCGAATTTACATTTCAATCAATATACACAGCAATATATGTTGATCCGAAAGTTTTATATTTGAATTTCCTGTATAAAGCAGTGTACCTGGGTTTAATATATATTTTGATAGATCAGTAAACTACATGATCTACCACATCTGTTACCTTTAAAAATTCTATATAGACTTCAAAATAACAGATGGAAGAACAAAGAGGCCATCAGGTACTAACATGCATTGGAAACATCGACTTCGACATAAAGAAGTCGATAGAACGTCAGAGTAATAAAGAATTGTACGAAAAAAAACCCCACAAAAGTGAATATAGTACCTTTCAATGAAGAATTGGATATAGTGAAGTCTAATGAATTATACTAAAACATACACCTATATAGTCCTTATGAAGGACTACAGTGTTCTAACATAAGGAGGTGACTGCGAATAAAAAATCGAAATTGATCGAATGTAATATCAGAAACCTAGATGGGAAAATGCATTGACACCAAATTCAGTCAATTACTTAGGAAATTAGATAATGATTAATTCATAGCCATAACTTGTTAGGTTTATCATCCCGAGAACAGTCATGTCATTCTGAAGATGGATCCCCTTGTGGTAGCTAGTGGCTACCTGACTGAGCAACATTCAGAAGGCCCACCACCTGACAGTCAGAGCAATCACAATAACATCAAAACAAGCCGGCCCGTTCCTCAGTTTCCTGAGAAACACAAACCGACACGGTTAGGTAGTATCGAACCACGCATTTTCAACTGAAGTATGTAGGTCAACACTCTTAACATACATTATTTTATACTTCATGTGCTTTAATGATGTAATATATAGCAGAGTTATTCACATTAATGAATTATTCAATTTTTCATTACAGCTGTTGATTGCTTTCTGATAGAATACCTCTACAAAGCCGTTATAGGCTATCAATCAACCATATGATATACTAATAACACTGATACATATCTACTATTCTGTCAACATACAAACCAACACTTAAGTGGTTACATATCAAAACCTTAACTGGAACATGTACAAAAATATCTGTAACAATATTTCGACAAATTTGACAACTTTCTGATAAACACCGTGAACTGTACTACAATTTGACCACAGGGATATACCATCACATTCATAGCCAACATTGTTTGATTTCTCAGGAAGCCGAGAAACAAGTCTTACTGAGCTGTTGTGAACGTGTCACCATACCTGAATTGCTCTAGGTAGCTTGTGACGGGGCTTCTATATGCTGTTCCATGAGGTTACCAACAGCTACTCTAAGGATACTGGCACAAAGCAATTTGTCGTACAGACGATAGGCGATGTGTCCACACCAGACATGTCCCTGTCAAAATTTCTCACGACTGTTTACAGTACTATTAACATAAGATCAACTCGATTAGATTTTTTTTTTTAACTTTCTGTTTCGCTTTGCAGTTGATTAGTAAGTTAATATCGATGAAAACTTGCGGGGAAGTCGCATGGTCGCCACCGTGATCTGATTAAGGAATATTCTATTTCCTTGTGCAATATAAAGTTTTAAGAGTTCAACATTCTCTAGTTTGGTCGGTTGTTTCATTGATACAAACTTGAATGGTTTTCACCGTAGAAGGTGATGTTACTTACTGGTTTTAAACAAGATCTACATGATGCGTGAATGAGAAGACTCTTAACTTTCAAGAATAGCCGCAGTGCTTTTATTATCCATGCAAGAATACCTGTCAATAGTCTCCGACTTAATTAGTCTGTTATTAATATTTCATCGATATTGAGTTTGTGTTGAAATTGTTCATACACCGGTATGTTATTGTTGGTTTTTCTTCGAAAATACTACAAGTACAATATATCATTTTTTACTAGTTCTGAAAACCGTTGAACCTTAGTCATACCGAAAGATGATGGATCATGAAAATGATTCAAGCATAAACATTCTATCTCCAGAAAAAGAACACGACGACTTTATCAAGCACCAAATACTCTCTGCAGACGTCCAGTATCGACATATTTTGATACTAATAAAGACATTTTCCTATTTCTGCATAGGAAAGGGTACATAAGATTGCCCACGTTCTCCATATAACCAGGCCCAGCTTGTCTTCATTTTCGAGGAGACAGCGGTACACTAAGACCGGACTAGAACTAGCTAAACGGTTGTATGGTCCGTGCTTTGTCCATGAACTAAACCCATATATTGTTTATTTAATGCTTTTGGACATTTAACAATATCAAAAGAATGTTAGATAAAAGTGCGTTTTAATTCGTTATTTTTTAAAATGCGACTGAATGTTAACATCGAAGGCTGTAAAGGAAGGGGGGGGGGGGGGGGGGTAAAGACCAAGATAGTTTACCATGCGGCTAAATGGAAAAGATTGTTGAACAGTATCTTTTAATGCAAAAGAATGTTATTAGATTAAAATACAAGTCGACTAATGCCGAATACAATCTCGTTAAAATGTGTATATCTGTTTCGTTTCTCCATCACTTTTACCGACTATAACCCAGTTTTTTCTTTCCAGTGTCTACGGTCTTCCGAGCCTTCTATCTGGATCTCAACTCTATGTTCTTTAAAACTCAAGTAAATATTTCGATAATGATCCATTGTCCTAAATATCCATGTATACTGCTGCTACTCTTCTGTCACTAAATTTATACTTTACACGATGAGATAGAGGAAACGATATTTTTTCAAACAAACACAAATTCGATAATAGAAGTTATGTCGTTTTAATATCAACAAGTTTTCATTATCGACAAAGTACTTACAAAAATGTGCATGGCAACAGGGACAGACAGAAATCAAACAAATTATTCTCCAGTAATAATAGAAAGTTTTTTTTTGACAATGTAACATTTTTTTGTCTCTGATAACAATTAGTAAAAATTACCGCTTGCTAATGATAACTTTCTATATTACCGTCATATTTTAAATGTATCTTTTGTATGACTGCATAACATTCTTTATTTGGTAAATTTGATAGGCATTTGGTAATGTAATATTTGTGTTTATTATTTTATCATCGTTATTATTTCAGTCGGATAATTATGAAAATTTGATGAACACGGAAAAAATATCCGACGTCTGGTTTCTAGCTTAGATGTGTCGAGTCATTCGGATCTCTTCTTGCTTGTGTGTTAGTTTGGTTATAACTCTCCGAAAGTAGCCACACGACTATTTATTAAACAGGAAATACCTGAATGTAAACAACCAAGGCAGACGTGCACAATGTTGTCGACAGATCGGGACAATTTCCTTGAAAAATTTGTAGATAGAAAGATTGATTTCGATAAACGCTGTTGCAGTGAATGTTTTCATCACTACGATTTAGACAGGTAAGATAAAGCTGAGGTTAATCTGGTATTCTTTTACCTGAAATTTGTTTCCGATGTTCTCATAGAAAATGCAGGCTGACAGCTCTTCATAGATGCCTGAATCTGTAAATAATTTCTGTAAACACAACTTGTTTGAGGAGATATTGAACGGCTAATTTTAGAAAATCATGGAAAGCAATCCATCATAGAGACCTTAATCTAATTAACTGATTTTGTATTCGTGTGGTTTATGTCCTACTGGCAGGTAGCCTACTGTAACACCTGCACATCTGCTTATATAATCGGATTTGCCGGTGCTCCAGCTCTTCTTCTTCTTCTTCTTCTTCTTCTTCTTCTTCTTCTTCTTCTTCTTCTTCTTCTTCTTCTTCTTCTTCTTCTATATACACTTATGACAATTTAATATTACATTTTCTGTAGTGCTGAATGATGGTGTATATATTAACGGTGATTTATTTTGGTGTTTTACACAATGGGATAATAATTCTTTTGACATTTGATTAGTATGTGTTAAAATAAAAGACGTTGTGAAAATTGATAGTCACAGCAGAATCAGCTGGGGAATACTGATATTTCATCATGGACTCCAACTATTTTTTTTATTTTTTTTTTACATTTCAAAATAGACTGGTCCTTGTAAACAATTAGAGTATCAATTTCGTAAAAGATTAGATGAAAAAGAAATCCTGCACTGTTCAAACTTAATATAAAGAACACCCCATTATTATTAGTACCTATAATTCACAAAGATATTAACTGCTGTAACCTGTAAACCAGTCAGTTTAACCAGTTTAATGAGTTAAGGGTTCCATATGCTAATTCAAAAAAAAATGTGGAATTTAAAAAAAAATTGTGGAATTTAAAAAAAAATCATCAAAAAAATTTATCATTGTTTTCATCAAATACAATTTAGTAAGATTGTTTGCTATGTAATTTACATGTTTACTTGAACATTGACTGTATGTTAAAAAATATTTAAACATTAGCCAATTCATGACATTGAGCCAAAAATAATTAACATGGAACTGTTCTACATTGGACGCATTATTTCAACATCCTGACAAGTTTAAACCAAAGAGAAGGTATGATAATATATCAAGTGATCAAACACTTGAAGTTCTCAGACACCTGAGTTATTCAGCAAGGCGTTTGTCACTTCCTGTACAGTCATGCACATGTGAATTCAATGAAGTTTATTTAGGAACATTGACTATATTTTTTTCAGTTTTTAATTATAACTTTTTTCTCTGTCACTCTTGATTCATATTTGCCGTCACTCCCTGTTAAGAGGAGGGCATTGGGGGCATAATATTTTGCGAAACTATACATTTCACATTAATTAAAAGCAAAAGCAGTTGAAAGTATCATACAGCAGTAACTTGCTACTTGTTGTCAATTAGAGCTTTGGCCTATGAAACCTCTGTTGAAGATCTGATGTGCATATTGTGAAACTGCTTACCTTTTTACCTTTGCTTCAATTTGTCAATGATTTTGAACTATTTTCATGCTCTAAATATTTAGAGAAAGGACAATCTTGATAGTCAATAATTGATGTATTAGACATTTATTTATAAAGGTCATCAGAGTGGTGATTCCAACAGGACTTCATATAGCAAAGTAAATAAAAAAACAGTGAAGTAAAGGATCTGATGTTAATTGAATTGCCTCTATCACGATGTAATGTTTCCAGATCATGTCAATATCACAAGATGACCTGTGTAGATCATCAATACGGTACCTCTGTCATTGACATCCCTGACCACCAATCACTACATGATCTCTGTAGATCATCAACACCATACCACAGTCACTGACATCCACTATATGTTATGATAAATAGATTTTTATTCCAAGTACTTCTGTAAAAGTTGCCTTTTTTCTTTAAGTAAATTTGAAAATTTCTCTGGATCATTTTTTTAGCAATTGATGTGTAGAAATATGAAGTATTACATAACAAAGTATGGTAAAACTTCAGTCAATCTGAACTAAATGAAATAAATTTTTAATGAACCTGTTCAAATCATACATGTGAAGATGAATTAGAGTTGACATTGCCCAAAATGATAACAAAGTGTTTAAAAGCGTGTAAAGTGTTCCTGCAAGACAGGAAACTAGTAATCAGTCATGGTATTTTCTGGAAAAGAAAAGGTTGATTATAATCTGATTTTATTTTTAAACCCTTACTGTATATGATAATGGCACATGTTTTATTTTGTTCTTTATCACGTTAGATATTGCAAGGAAGAAACCATGTAAAATATAGTCCATGAAAAAAAGACTGTCTTCTTGTCTGTTGGCAGAAGTTAGTGTTGACATATCAGTCTGCAAAGTGTGGATTTACACTTATGACTGTGGATTAATGTTTTTGACACTTATCATTTATTTGACATGACAAAAAGGGTTTGTCTTGATTATCTTATCAAAATGTAAAATGTGAAGTGAAACACTTGCTCTTTGACAACACACATGCTGATTTCCCATGGTCCGTAACGCAGAGTTTGCGCCTCAATTTGTGTCAGCTGGCATGAGCGCAAGCTGAAGGCAAAATGTGAAAGAAATCACACTGAATCAATGCTGATTAAGTGACATCTATGTGTATAATATGGTGGTATCAGTTGCTAATTTGGTCATTTCCAGCCTGCTACCCGCAACATTTAACGTTGATGTGTATATAGCGACCGCATGGAGTGATTATTGCAGTGCCAATATCTTTATCAATAGTTATATGTGTGATCACACATTGTGTTCGAACAGTACAAATTGTAAGTGAAACAACACTTGAGACAGTTTGAACTATCACTAGACAGAAAATTATTATTTTCATTGAAAAGAAATCATGTGTTAAAACTACCTGCCTATTTGAACAGACTGAAGGTTTTCTGTAGATGTTTCCACATTGTTTAGCAAATTCCTACCTCACATATTGATGAAAATCATGTCTCTAATGTTATATTTGCAGTTTTTAACTAAATTGAAAAAATTCAATGTCCTTACCTTACTTTGATGGCTGCTAGAATCAAAACATAGATAGGACTAAAAATATAGATAAATAAGTTATTAACAAAGAACTTAATTTTCACTGGAAGTATATTTCATGGTTGAAAAAATTAGAACCATGCTAAAGTAACCACTTCTACAGTATAATTGTTGATAGTGATTGAAGATTTCTAGGTAACGACCAGACAGAATCATCTGTGATAGTGATTGAAGATATCTAGGTAACGACCAGACAGAATCATCTATGATAGTGACTGAAGATTTCTAGGTAACGACCAGACAGAATCATCTATGATAGTGACTGAAGATTTCTAGGTAACGACCAGACAGAATCATCTATGATAGTGACTGAAGATTTCTAGGTAACGACCAGACAGAATCGTCTATGATAGTGACTGAAGATTTCTAGGTAACGACCAGACAGAATCGTCTATGATAGTGATTGAAGATTCCTAGGTAACGATAGTGATTGAAGATTTCTAGGTAACAACCAGACAGAATCATCTATGATAGTGATTGAAGATTTCTAGGTAACGACCAGACAGAATCATCTATGATAGTGACTGAAGATTTCTAGGTAACGACCAGACAGAATCATCTATGATAGTGATTGAAGATTTCTAGGTAACAACCAGACAGAATCATCTATGATCATTTGGAAGGAATGATGCCTGGTAAATGGAAAGTGATATTTGATAGACTTAGATACAATTTCTCTGTCTTCATTCTCAGTATGGATAAGTAATGATGATACTGATGTTAACATCGTATAGTTGTTTACGTGGATTAATTGTTTACATGGTTCATGTTGATATGGTGATGAAGAGATGGTTCTGATTTAATGTAATAGCAATGTTAACATGGTGCTGATGGTAGTGATATTTCAATATAGTGTTGATGTTGGTGATTTTTCACATGGTGTTGATGGTGACTTTTCATTGTGATGGTTTTTACATTGTGGTAATTTTAACATTGTTTGACGGGTTGCACATAGTGCAAATCCAGGTATAATGGTGAATGTCGGGCGGACGGGCAGGTGAGGAAAAGGGGTACCAGTTTTGTAGAATCAACTCCTAGAGTTTTTGACGTAGGACCTTGATACTTTGTAGGGTGTTTATATATATATTGAAGATGTGCACCTATTATTATGGATTCATTCCGGACATTTTTTCTTGATTTTTGGGGCTTTGGAACTTAGTCATTTTCAACAGTCTGGCCTGAAAAATCCAAGATTGCAGCCTTTGCCTCTCATTTAAATCACTTTGGGGCCCTAGATGTCCATGGTCTATTTTTTTTAAACATCTCTGAATCAAAAATGGCTGCAACTTCTTTCTTCAGATGCCATTCTTCTGCACCAATTCATAAAATACAGCCAAACTTTCTCTCTTAAAACAAATATTGTACATACTCAACAAATGAAACACCCTTAACTGTCTTATAAATACCATATAACATTGCACTCATCCCGCAACCCGGCAAATTGTGGCTTTGCCCCATTTTTGTTATTTTTACTTTGTGGTGATTTTTACATTGTTGGGATATTTACATTGTGGTGGTTTTTGCATTATTGTGATTTTCACATTGTATTGGTTTTTATGTGGTGGTGATGTTTACATCATTGTGATTTTTACATTGTGGTGATTTTTACATTGTGGTGGATTTTACATGGTGGTGATTTTTACATTGTGGTGGATTTTACATTGTGGTGATTTTTACATTATTGTGATTTTTACATGATGGTGATTTTTACTTTGTGGTGATTTTTACATTGTGGTGGATTTTACATGGTGGTGATTTTTACATTGTGGTGGATTTTACATTGTGGTGATTTTTACATTATTGTGATTTTTACATGGTGGTGATTTTTACATTATTGTGATTTTTACATGGTGGTGATTTTTACATTGTGGTGATTTTTACATTGTGGTGGATTTTACATGGTGGTGATTTTTACATTGTGGTGGATTTTACATGGTGGTGATTTTTACATTATGGTGATTTTTACATGGTGGTGATTTTTACATTATGGTGATTTTTACATTGTCGAGATTTTTACATGATTGTGATTTTTGCATTATGGTGATTTTTACATTGTCGAGATTTTTACATTATTGTGATTTTTACATTATAGTGATTTTTGCATTATGGTGATTTTTACATTGTCGAGATTTTTACATTATTGTGATTTTTACATTATGGTGATTTTTACATTATGGTGATTTTTACATTGTCGAGATTTTTACATTATTGTGATTTTTGCATTATGGTGATTTTTACATTGTCGAGATTTTTACATTGTGGTGGTTTTTACATTGTCAGTATTTTTACATTGTGGTGGATTTTACATTGTGGTGATTTTTATATTATTGTGATTTTTACATTGTGGTGATTTTTACATTGTGGTGATTTTTACATTGTGGTGGATTTTTACATTGTGGTGAATTTTACATTGTGGTGGTTTTTACATTGCGTTGGTTTTTATGTAGTGGTGGTTTATACATTATGGTGGTTTGTACATTATGGTGGTTTTTACATTAAGGAGATTTTTACATTGTGTTGGTTTTTATGTAGTGGTGGTTTGTACATTATGCTGGTTTTTACATTAAGGAGATTTTTACATTGTGTTGGTTTTTACATTAAGGAGATTTTTACATTGTGTTGGTTTTTATGTGATGGTGGTTTGTACATTATGGTGGTTTTTACATGGTGGTTATGTTTCACATGGTGCTGATGTTGATATTGCAGGGTTTGCATTGTTCTCTACCCTATGTTTGTTGAAAGCATCAGACTGTTTGATTACAGAAATATTGGCTTCCACATGCTGCCAAACATATATGGAATAATAATTAATGATAAAACATGTACTCTATTGATCTTACTTTAATTTGTAGTATTGATTGTGTGTCTAAATTTAGCAGACCCAGCTAACATAATAGCTTTCGTTGTATTTGGACCATAGTGCAGCTGAAGCAGGTTATATGCTACATTGTGTCTACCTGTTTCTATAGGTAATCATCTGTAACTATCTACCTGTGTGTCAACAGTGACCTTCGGGTTACAGTATTATATAACTACCATACATGTACACTGCCTTCTGTAAATGTCATTTGAAAGTGATAATTCAAAATTCATTAAAACTCATTTCAATATTACTTTTGATTAAAACATATTAAACACATGATTGTGATAGCTTGATAGTTAATCAATAGTTTTATTAGGTTAATGGAAGATAAAAATGAACAAATACAACGTTTTTGCAATATGATATAAAAATTTCATCAGTCTCGATCAATTGGACTAAATTTTTCGTTAAAGAAAGCTCATCTTATGATGGACTTCTTACTTTCAGTGCAAAAAGATGACATGCATATGAAGTCAAAAAATCAGTTTTCTCCTCATTTTATAACATTCAGGAAAACAGTTGTGTATTGGTGTAAGATATGTGTAAATATGTACTGGAGTGGAAGGATACTAGATGTGTGTGGAAGGATACTGATATAAAATGTGTGTGGAAGGATGCTGGTGTAAGATGTGTGTGGAAGGATACTGGTGTAAGATGTGTGTGGAAGGATACTGATGTAGGATGTGTGTGGAAGGATACTGATGTAAGATTAGTGTGGAAGTATACTGGTGTAAGATTTGTGTGGAAGGATACTGGTGTAGAATGTGAATGGAAGGATGCAAGTGTAAGATTTGTTTGGAAGGATACTGATGTAAGATTTGTGTGGAAGTATACTGGTGTAAGATTTGTGTGGAAGGATACTGGTGTAAGATGTGTGTGGAAGGATGCTGATGTAAGATGTGTGTGGAAGGATGCTGGTGTAAGATTTGTGTGGAAGGATGCTGATGTAAGATTTGTGTGGAGGGATACTGACTGAAGATGTGTGTGGAAGGATGCTGGTGTAAGATGTGTGTGGAAGGATGCTGGTGTAAGATTTGTGTGGAAGGATGCTGATGTAGGATGTGTGTGGAAGGGTACTGGTGTAAGATTTGTGTGGAAGGATGCTGATGTAAGATTTGTGTGGAAGGATGCTGATGTAAGATTTGTGTGGAAGTATACTGGTGTAAGATTTGTGTGGAAGGATGCTGGTGTAAGATTTGTGTGGAAGTATACTGGTGTAAGATTTGTGTGGAAGGATGCTGGTGTAAGATGTGTGTGGAAGGATGCTGGTGTAAGATTTGTGTGGAAGGATGCTGATGTAAGATGTGTGTGGAAGGATACTGGTGTAAGATGTGTGTGGAAGGATACTGATGTAAGATTTGTGTGGAAGGATGCTAGTGCTGTGTGTAAGTATACTGGGTGTAAGATTTGTGTGGAAGGATACTGGTGTAAGATGTGTGTGGAAGGATACTGATGTAAGATTTGTGTGGAAGGATGCTGGTGTAAGATTTGTGTGGAAGGATACTGGTGTAAGATGTGTGTGGAAGGGTACTGGTGTAAGTTGTGAATGGAAGGATGCAAGTGTAAGATTTGTGTGGAAGTATACTGGTGTAGAATGTGAATGGAAGGATGCAAGTGTAAGATTTGTTTGGAAGGATACTAGTGTAAGATTTGTGTAAGATTTGTGTGGAAGGATGCTGATGTAGGATGTGTGTGGAAGGGTACTGGTGTAAGATGTGTGTGGAAGGATGCTGATGTAAGATTTGTGTTGAAGGATGCTGGTGTAAGATGTGTGTGGAAGGATACTGGTGTAAGATGTGTGTGGAAGGGTACTGGTGTAAGTTGTGAATGGAAGGATGCAAGTGTAAGATTTGTGTGGAAGTATACTGGTGTAGAATGTGAATGGAAGGATGCAAGTGTAAGATTTGTTTGGAAGGATACTGATGTAAGATTTGTGTGGAAGGATGCTGGTGTAAGATTTGTGTGGAAGGATGCTGATGTAGGATGTGTGTGGAAGGGTACTGGTGTAAGATTTGTGTGGAAGGATGCTGATGTAAGATTTGTGTGGAAGGATGCTTTTGTAAGATTTGTGTAGAAGGATGCTGATGTAGGATGTGTGTGGAAGGGTACTGGTGTAAGATGTGTGTGGAAGGATGCTTTTGTAAGATTTGTGTAGAAGGATGCTGATGTAGGATGTGTGTGGAAGGGTACTGGTGTAAGATGTGTGTGGAAGGATGCTGATGTAAGATTTGTGTGGAAGGATACTGGTGTAAGATTTGTGTGGAAGGATACTGGTGTAAGATGTGTGTGGAAGGATACTGATGTAGGATGTGTGTGGAAGGGTACTGGTGTAAGATGTGTGTGGAAGGATGCTGATGTAAGATTTGTGTGGAAGGATACTGGTGTAAGATTTGTGTGGAAGAATGCTGATATATAAGATGTGTGTGGAAGGATGCTGGTGTAAGATGTGTGTGGAAGGATGCTGATGTAGGATGTGTGTGGAAGGGTACTGGTGTAAGATGTGTGTGGAAGAATGCTGATGTAAGATTTGTGTGGAAGGATACTGGTGTAAGATTTGTGTGGAAGAATGCTGATATATAAGATGTGTGTGGAAGGATGCTGGTGTAAGATTTATGTGGAAGGATATTAGTGTAAGATTTGTGTGGAAGGATACTGATGTAAGATTTGTGTGGAAGAATGCTGATATAAGATGTGTGTGGAAGGATGCTGGTGTAAGATGTGTGTGGAAGGATACTGGTGTAAGATGTGTGTGGAAGGATGCTGATGTAAGATGTGTGTGGAAGGGTACTGGTGTAAGTTGTGAATGGAAGGATGCAAGTGTAAGATTTGTGTGGAAGTATACTGGTGTAGAATGTGAATGGAAGGATGCAAGTGTAAGATTTGTGTGGAAGGATACTGGTGTAAGATTTGTGTGGAAGGATACTGATGTAAGATTTGTGTGGAAGAATGCTGATGCAAGATTTGTGTGGAAGTATACTGGTGTAAGATTTGTGTGGAAGGATACTGGTGTAAGATTGTTGTGGAAGGGTACTGGTGTAAGATTTGTGTGGAAGGATACTGATGTAAGATTTGTGTGGAAGGATGCTGATGTAAGATTTGTGTGGAAGGATACTGATGTAAGATTTGTGTGGAGGGATGCTGGTGTAAGATGTGTGTGGAAGGATACTGATGTAAGATTTGTGTGGAAGGATACTGGTGTAAGATTTGTGTGGAAGGATACTGATGTAAGATTTATGTGGAAGAATACTGGTGTAAGATTTGTGTGGAAGGATATTAGTGTAAGATTTGTGTGGAAGGATACTGGTGTAAGATTTGTGTGGAAGGATACTGATGTAAGATTTGTGTGGAAGAATGCTGATGTAAGATTTGTTAGGAAGTATACTGGTGTAAGATTTGTGTGGAAGGATACTTGTGTAAGATTTGTGTGGAGGGATACTGGTGTAAGATTGTTGTGGAAGGGTACTGGTGTAAGATGTTTGTGGAAGGATACTGATGTAAGATTTGTGTGGAAGGATGCTGGTGTAAGATGTGTGTGGAAGGATACTGGTGTAATATTTGTATGGAAGGATACTTGTGTAACATTTGTTTGAAGGATACTGGTTGAAGATTTGTGTAGAAGTAATAGCTTGTGCTGACTTTTTTGTTTTAGGGATGGTTCATTGAGCCAGACGGAATTTGAGGGGCTCCTTTCAGACTTGTTTTGTGATGGAGGACAGTCATACCCAATCAGCTCTCAAGTGCTGTCTCAGTTTATGGAACTTCTTGATGTAGACAAGGTATGTAGCTCTGAGGCACTTAAAGAAACTGTAAGGTCAAAGGTCAAGGCTATAAATGTAACATGTTAGGGTCAGAAAATAGTTTTAAAGTTTATTACAGTAAATATCATAATTATTATACTGTTGATTGGACATAGAGTGTAGCTCTAGAGCACTTACAAGAAGTAAATGCTTAGATGTCATTGTTATAAATGTTGACTTTAAGAAGTTTAAATGGTTGATGTCCTTCACCAGGGTTTTCACTGATCTGGTTACCGGTATATTAAACTATTCTGATGTGTTTGTTTATCCTTATTCCTTAAAGCTGGAAGGAGATATGCAATTTGCTTATATATTATAGGGAACTTTTCATATCTCCACCAGATTAAGTTTTTGGATCATATCTAAAACTTGTTCACGATAACTTAAAAACATTCTGTGTAGGCATTAATTGAATTTTTATAATCCCCTGTCATAAAATGGGGAGAGGGGCCCATATAGCAATGCCCATGTTGGTTCTTTCTTGTCCTGTCACATCACTTCTCATCCCATTCCCTCCCGTCCCGTCTTGTCACATCCTTTCCTGATTGAATGTACACACCTAGCAATTCTTGGCAGATTTTAGTAAAACGTCATACCTTATATATAAGGTTTTAATATGGGTATACTTTGGACATCATTATGTTACAGGTCATCAAGGTCATGGACAAGGTCACTCTAACTTTATTTAGAAAATCATCAACTGATTCACTTTAAATACTTAGCAACTTTCATAAATTTTGGTCTAACTTTATGCAAAGGTCAGTTATGAGTATACTTTGGACATTGTTGTATATCATGGACCCAAGATCAAGTGACCTTGCTATATATAGGAAATCATCAACTGATTCAACACTGAAACTAATGTGTTGGCAGTGTGGGTATTTATATACTACAGACATTTTTCTAGCCTTTTTCTGTTACCATACTAACAAATCATCAAAAATCACTTATATCACTGTTTCCAGGTGCTATAGCCTGTTAACTACAGGAAAGTCTACCCATGACTATTGTGACACCATTGCTTGAAGTGGAATATTCATTTTGCTGCATTGATAATGTTAAAGTGAGAAGACTTCATGAATTTCTTGTATACACTTATGTAGGATTCTGTATATACTGATAACAGACTGTTAGTGTTATATGGGGTTAATGGTATGAACAGTGTCTCTTGGGTCCACAGAAAGGTAGACTATGTCGTGAAGATCAGAGACTTCCATGGCTACAGCAGCACATTACTCTTATTAATGGTCCAGGCCTATAGCTTGCCAAGCTATTATACCTAGGGTACGGCTGCTGGGCATACTCATACCATGGTACTTAACAGTCAAGAATATGATTATGACAGAGCCTGAAGTCTGCCCTTATAAAGACAGGTATTGTGTCTAGAACCGCAGCTCAAGTCTATATAAAGACCCGCATTGTATCAACATTTCAATGTGTTCAATAATACATGCTTGTATTCTTCTCAACAGGATGGTAAAATTAGCAAGAAAGAATTTATGGAGAACAGTTATTATTGGCTGAAACAGGTAAATATCCATCTAAGGTTGGGACAGTTGAGTGACTTATATATAATGGATATGTCGTGTGCGTCACAGGCATACAAAATTTATTGATTTCATGTAATGTTAATGATTTTAACAGCTCGTATTATTAAGCATAAAAATTGCTTTATAAACCTCTGCTGGCATTAAAGAGATGATAAAAATCAGTCTGAGGTGAACACCTGTGATGTCTGGTAGAAATAGTGCTGATTTCTCTAGAGTTTTGTGTGAGGGCAAATATCCTATATTGAGTATACACCTACCTACTTGTAGAAAGTATGAAGAAGTAAAGTATGTCTGGTCGATAAAGCTTAATATGATTAAAGTATTCAGGATGAAATTATTTCTTGATAGAACTTCACAAATTCTTTTACATTTTTGTCCAAACTTTTTGCTTTTGTCTTGTCTTCGGCTCAGAACGAAAGTGATTCTTTGGTGTTACTTTTCTGTTGGCCTCTGGATTCACGCCCAATGTCAAACATCTTTAGGCTCATTCAGTCATATGTTTTTCTTTGGGATTTTGTGGTTTTTGTCACTTAGCCATTATAAGTGAGTCCAAGCATGATACAGCAAAACCTATAACCCTGTTGAATTCTCCCTTTGTCTAATCTGTTGTGAAATCAAAAATTTGAATTCTTACAATTCTAAAAAGAGAAAAATTGTTTGTTTTCAGATGACTTTGAAGTAAACAGATAGATGAACTTCTTTTAATGCTACCATTTTCATTCAAGCTGAAAATGTATACAAATTTCTCATTGTTACATCCCATATTATATAGATTAAAATACTATCTGGCAATGTTACAGACTAAGAATGTATTGGTTCAGTATGGAATATAAGTTAGAGGTTGGTAATTAATGCACATCAAATTTTCTGTGCTGATTTATAAATAGTAATGTAACAATGATTGTTCTCAAAATAAACAACATTTACTAAGATAAAAAAGGAACAATAAAAGTTACAATGAACCACTGGTGTGGAATGAGTGATGTTTCTATGTATCTCGATCTAATGTAATGTGCTCCAGGCTGTAATCTTTAAACAATATACAGAATTATGTACATCTTCCCATGACCTCAACATCTGGAAATAAAAAGGCAAACAGTTGATGAATGCCATTTTCCAGGCTGAAACTTTGTTATCATTAAAGATTTGCTAAAACCTGCATAACAAATAATTCATGCTCAGGTTATAATCCATATCAGAATTAGGAGTATGAAATGTCCTTCAATTCCCCTTTTTTGTTGTATTAAGATTTCTGTTGATTTTCATGATACTAATAGTGTGCTTGTTGAACAACGGTCAGAGTTATTAACTCAATGTATCTTCACCCACTGATGGTGACTATGTTAAATACCAGTCAGGGGTATTAACATAGTGTATCTTCACCCACTGATGGTGTCAATGTTAAACATCAGTCAATGATATTAACATAGTGTGTCTTCACCCACTGATGGTGTCAATGTTAAACATCAGTCAATGATATTAACATAGTGTGTCTTCACCCACTGATGGTGTCAATGTTAAACATCAGTCAGTGATATTAACTCAATGTATCTTCACCCACTTTTGGTTTCTATATTAAACATAAGTCAGTGATATTAACAGAGTGTATCTTTACCCACTGATGGTTTCTATGTTAAACAACAGTCAGGGATCTCACTGATGGTGACTATGTTAAACATCAGTCAGGGACATTAACAAAGTGTTTCTTCACCCACTGATGAAGTCTATGTTTAACATCAGTCCGGGACATTAACAGAGTGTTTCTTTACCCACTGATGAAGTCTATGTTTAACATCAGTCCGGGACATTAACAGAGTGTTTCTTCACCCACTGATGAAGTCTATGTTAAACATCAGTCAGGGACATTAACAGAGTGTTTCTTCACCCACTGATGAAGTCTATGTTAAACATCAGTCAGGGACATTAACAGAGTGTTTCTTCACCCACTGATGAAGTCTATGTTAAACATCAGTCAGGGACATTAACAAAGTGTTTCTTCACCCACTGATGAAGTCTATGTTAAACATCAGTCAGGGACATTAACAGAGTGTTTCTTCACCCACTGATGAAGTCTATGTTAAACATCAGTCAGGGACATTAACAAAGTGTTTCTTCACCCACTGATGAAGTCTATGTTAAACATCAGTCAGGGACATTAACAGAGTGTTTCTTCACCCACTGATGAAGTCTATGTTAAACATCAGTCCGGGACATTAACAAAGTGTTTCTTCACCCACTGATGAAGTCTATGTTAAACATCAGTCAGGGACATTAACAGAGTGTTTCTTCACCCACTGATGAAGTCTATGTTAAACATCAGTCAGGGACATTAACAAAGTGTTTCTTCACCCACTGATGAAGTCTATGTTTAACATCAGTCAGGGACATTAACAAAGTGTTTCTTCACCCACTGATGAAGTCTATGTTTAACATCAGTCCGGGACATTAACAGAGTGTTTCTTCACCCACTGATGAAGTCTATGTTAAACATCAGTCAGGGACATTAACAAAGTGTTTCTTCACCCACTGATGAAGTCTATGTTTAACATCAGTCAGGGACATTAACAAAGTGTTTCTTCACCCACTGATGAAGTCTATGTTTAACATCAGTCCGGGACATTAACAGAGTGTTTCTTCACCCACTGATGAAGTCTATGTTAAACATCAGTCCGGGACATTAACAGAGTGTTTCTTCACCCACTGATGAAGTCTATGTTAAACATCAGTCAGGGACATTAACAGAGTGTTTCTTTACCCACTGATGAAGTCTATGTTTAACATCAGTCAGGGACATTAACAAAGTGTTTCTTCACCCACTGATGAAGTCTATGTTTAACATCAGTCAGGGACATTAACAAAGTGTTTCTTCACCCACTGATGAAGTCTATGTTTAACATCAGTCAGGGACATTAACAGAGTGTTTCTTCACCCACTGATGAAGTCTATGTTTAACATCAGTCAGGGACATTAACAGAGTGTTTCTTTACCCACTGATGAAGTCTATGTTTAACATCAGTCAGGGACATTAACAAAGTGTTTCTTCACCCACTGATGAAGTCTATGTTTAACATCAGTCAGGGACATTAACAGGGTGTTTCTTTACCCACTGATGAAGTCTATGTTTAACATCAGTCAGGGATATTAACATAGTGTATCTAGCCTGTTTAACATCAGTCAGGGATATTAACATAGTGTATCTAGCCTGTTTAACATCAGTCAGGGATATTAACATAGTGTATCTAGCCTGTTTAACATCAGTCAGGGATATTAACATAGTGTATCTAGCCTGTTTAACATCAGTCAGGGATATTAACATAGTGTATCTAGCCTGTTGTTTAACATCAGTCAGGGATATTAACATAGTGTATCTAGCCTGTTTAACATCAGTCTGGGATATTAACATAGTGTATCTAGCCTGTTTAACATCAGTCAGGGATATTAACATAGTGTATCTAGCCTGTTTAACATCAGTCTGGGATATTAACATAGTGTATCTAGCCTGTTTAACATCAGTCTGGGATAACGTCAGAGATGTCCTCCCGTACACAGACTATACAAACAGCACTATTGATCACCAGTTGTCTAAATATGTTATTTATATATACACTTAGTATTGATGACCTAAGGAGAAATTCGGTCAGATTAATACTGGAGCATCAGACCTAACTAGTTTGTATGTTTTTGTAATTCTTCAGTACAAAATTATGATTTCTGACTGTGAATACACAGAATAATGATAAATCTGTAGTGAGATGTCTTCTCTGTTTGGTTTTCTTTACTCAGTATCTGTTGCTAACAATAGAAAATGATAACAAAGACTTTATTTGAATATGAAGCTAGCATGGTGACAACTAGAAGTATGATATATTATAGATAGATATAAGTAATACATGTTGGTATTTTACTACCTAGCATTGACAATGCATGTCTGTATTATACCAGTGGCTATTCGTGTCAAGCCTCAATGTTGTGTAGCCAAGTGTGGGGAAAGCCTTCTGTAAAGATGTCATTTAGTCAATGAATTATTCAGTCTAGTGTTTTTACTATATTTTTTATATTTCTACTAACAGCTTACTCAGGATAGTTATAGTCATAGGGGCGAGATATGTTAAATCAGGGCTGCACACATTATCAGTTTAATCGGCACACAAAGATTGTTTTCAGAAATGCATATTGTACATAATGCAAATACTTTGGTAATACTCATTCTATTTCAGTCAAAACTTCCCTGAAGACCACTTGTAAATTACGAAAAAAAGACCACCCGTCTATAAAGGTCACTGGGTTTTAATATCATTGTAATTAATTAAACCTCTATGTAAAGGTCACTCGTCTGTGAACACTCTGTTTGCTCCATTTTGTGACCTTTATAAACAGGTTTGTCTGTAGTATTTTGGAACTGGAATTTTAGATCTTGCAATAAATTGCAGTACTAATGTTAATTTTATTAAAACTGTACTTTATACTCTGTTGTCAGTTTAAGATCAGTCTGATTTAGGATTTCATTAAATATATGGTATTTTCAGATCTTACAGCCAGTGTCAGCCCTGGTAATTGTTGATGTACAAAATGACTTCCTTGATGGAAGTTTGTCACTACGAAACTGCCCTGCTGGACAGGATGGGAATGGTGTGATTCCAGCAATCAACTCTGTACTGGACACAGTGACCTTTGACCTTGTTGTTTACACACGGGACTGGCACCCTGCAGATCACATATCCTTCATAGAAAATGTTGACAAAAGACCTCTACAAACAAACTCCCATGTAAGTTCCATGGAAATGTTGACAAACAACCTATACAAACAAACCCCTAAAAAAATTCTGTGGAAATGTTGACAAACAACCTCTACAGACAAACTCCCATGTAAGTTCCATGGAAATGTTGACAAAAGACATCTACAAACAAACTCCCATGTAAGTTCCATGGAAATGTTGACAAACAACCTCTACAAACAAACCCTCATGTAAGTTCTATGTAAATGTTGACAAACAACCTCTACAAACAAACCCTCATGTAAGTTCTATGTAAATGTTGACAAACAACCTCTACAAACAAACCCTCATGTAAGTTCTATGTAAATGTTGACCAACAACCTCTACAAACAAACCCTCGTGTAAGTTTAGTGGAAATGTTGACAAACAACCTCTACAGACAAACTCCCATGTAAGTTCCATGGAAATGTTGACAAACAACCTCTACAAACAAACCCTCATGTAAGTTCCATGGAAATGTTGACAAACAACCTCTACAAACAAACCCTCATGTAAGTTTAGTGGAAATGTTGACAAACAACCTCTACAGACAAACCCTCATGTAAGTTCTATGTAAATGTTGACAAACAACCTCTACAAACAAACCCTCATGTAAGTTCCATGGAAATGTTGACAAACAACCTCTACAAACAAACCCTCATGTAAGTTCTATGTAAATGTTGACAAACAACCTCTACAAACAAACCCTCATGTAAGTTCTATGTAAATGTTGACAAACAACCTCTACAAACAAACCCTCATGTAAGTTCCATGTAAATGTTGACAAACAACCTCTACAAACAAACCCTCATGTAAGTTCTATGTAAATGTTGACAAACAACCTCTACAAACAAACCCTCATGTAAGTTCTATGTAAATGTTGACAAACAACCTCTACAAACAAACCCTCATGTAAGTTCTATGTAAATGTTGACAAACAACCTCTACAAACAAACCCTCATGTAAGTTCTATGTAAATGTTGACAAACAACCTCTACAAACAAACCCTCATGTAAGTTCTATGTAAATGTTGACAAACAACCTCTACAAACAAACCCTCATGTAAGTTCTATGTAAATGTTGACAAACAACCTCTACAAACAAACCCTCATGTAAGTTCTATGTAAATGTTGACAAACAACCTCTTCAAACAAACCCTCATGTAAGTTCCATGTAAATCTTGACCAACAACCTCTACAAACAAACTCTCATGTAAGTTCCATGTAAATGTTGACAAACAACCTCTACAGGCAAACTCTCATGTAAGTTCTATGTAAATGTTGGCAAACAACCTCTACAGACAAACTCTCATGTAAGTTCCATGGAAATGTTGACCAACAACCTCTACAGACAAACTCTCATGTAAGTTCTATGTAAATGTTGACAAACAACCTCTACAGACAAACTCTCATGTAAGTTCCATGGAAATGTTGACCAACAACCTCTACAAACAAACCCTCATGTAAGTTCTATGTAAATCTTGACCAACAACCTCTACAAACAAACCCTCATGTAAGTTCCATGGAAATGTTGACCAACAACCTCTACAAACAAACCCTCATGTAAGTTCTATGTAAATCTTGACCAACAACCTCTACAAACAAACCCTCATGTAAGTTCTATGTAAATCTTGACCAACAACCTCTACAAACAAACCCTCATCTAAGTTCTATGGAACTGTTGACAAATGAGTTAAACTAACTTCTTACACAAACTTATAACAACCCACAAATAAACATCCATGTGCTTTGATAATTTCCTTGAACAAGGCCCAGAAGAGAATATCTTGTATTGATTTTTACTCCATTCATGGACAAACTAAATAGCATGTGCAGTGATTTAGGACTAAATAGTAATTCCATTGCTACTGTATCAGTGTTTGTCAGTTTTGGATGGGCTTCAGCTTGTTAGTTTGTTTTCATTTCTTTCCCATAAAATTTAATGAATAATAAGTACCAGGTACTGAAAAGGTTATTGTCATAGAGCGACTTTATTATTGCAGGATGTTTGTATCCCTAAGTAAGTATGGCAAACATGTAAATGTTAAACTAACTTCTTACACAAACTTATAACAACCCACAAATAAACATCCATGCAAGGTCACTAGATCACTGTGGATACTTGTTAAATTATTTTATAATAATTCCAACATTCTGAGCTTTTTCACTGTCCTGTTTGTACTGAAGTAAAATGTAAAATGTGCTCTTTTTCCCCACAGAAAACACAGGTGCCTCCCAAAGTGCTTGACACTGTCCTGTTTGTACTGAAGTAAAATGTAAAATGTGCTCTTTTTTCCCACAGAAAACACAGGTGCCTCCCAAAGTGCTGGACACTGTGGTGTTTGCTGGACCTCCTGTTACGGAGCAGAAGCTGTGGCCGTCCCATTGTGTTCAGGGGTCATGGGGTGCAGAAATCCACTCGGATCTCAAAGTAAATGGTTCATGTTTAGTAATTAAAGTAAAAAGTCAGAGGAAAGTTGAAGCAAGAATAAATAATTTGTGTAAATAAATTTAAAAGAATTCGTTTGGGGAGGCCTTACTTATTATGTCGGCGAATGTTGCTGTTTGTTTACTTAGGTTCATGTAAAACACTTTGTCAACTTATTTAGGTGAAGGATACTACAATTTCCTGTGAGGTGAAATCATCACAAATGATCCTCTTAGGACATTGAGGTTGTTTACATCTCCGACCAATTACACTTGCTTGTATTGGTCACAATTCAAGATTGCTTTTTGTTTTGTTCATGTATGAACCTGTAAGTAAAAAAATATATTTATTAAAGCTAAAGTCAAAAAGATAATTTATAACTATCACCTTTGAAACTACTTAGAATTAGTGTACTGTCCCCATATATCTTAGTATAATATCACAGAAGATACTTTACCAAGATTTCGATGAATTAGACTTAAATAAAGATAACAAATGAGAGACAAATCAATCTTATATTGAGTCAGACAAACTGGTGACTGATGATGATAAACTGACAGTTTACAAACTCTTGCTCCAACAATGTCAGTCTAGAGAAAACAGTGATTTAATGAGATTGTCTTTAGACATACACCAGTCAATCTTAGCTTAGACTTAATATATTTTTGTTGTTAAAAAGTACATAAGCATAGCATTCATGAATCCATGCCATTAGCCTAACCTTATTGTGGTTCCAATCACAGTTCCTGTATTTTTTACCAACTTTGTACAATGTCATGCCCACGAAACTAAACTCAACAAACCTTGAATTAAATGTTAAATATGAGAAATGTTTTAAAGAATAATACAAAAGACATCTTAAAACTATTAAAATTTGCTGTACATTCATCAAGGGAGGTAACACAGAGACATAAATAAATTTTACCTACCATGTTAAGTTAACTGTGGTCTGAAAAACCCACCCTGATACCAGGAACTGAATTGGGGTCTGAAATATCCACCTTGATGTCAGGAATTTAACTTGGTCTGAAAAGTCAACCCTCCATCAGGAATCAAAATGTCTGAAAAATCTGTCCTGATGTCAGGAATAAGAAAATATGTCCGTTTAAATTCATATTTGAACAAGGTCAAAATCCTTTTGGTTTTTTAAAGCAAAAAGTTGAGATAATACTTTGTTGTCAATGTTGAGTAATTTTCATTGACCATGTGTATGCAGACTGAATCTTCTGTATTTTTCCATGAAGTCCAAGTATTACTAACATGTTTGGAAACTAAATAAAGTTATTTCCCTTACAGTTTGTTGAAGGAGGTGTGATTGTGGACAAAGGAATGAGGCCAGATGTGGACAGTTACTCTGCATTCTGGGACAACAACAAACTTGCTGAAACAGATCTAGTCCGAATCCTGTCCAAACATAAAGTCACTGATGTATACTTGTGTGGTGTAGCATATGATGTATGTGTAGGTAAGTGTAAACCTTTGACATCTATCAACTTTACATCTCTTTTAGACATTTTTTGAGTGCATTAATTCAGTTAGGCAAGCTGTAACAAGAGAAATGTATAATATAGAAATAATATTGGTAATCTCTCAGGTGGGTGTATTGCTGTTAACACAATGGTGTTCTCTTAAAGTTTTTCCACCTCAGATAGATGTATTGCTGTTAATATGATGGTGTTGTCTTATAAAGTTTTTCCAACTCAGATAGATGTATTGCTGTTAATATGATGGTGTTGTCTTATAAAGTTTTTCCAACTCAGATAGATGTATTGCTGTTAACACAATGGTGTTGTCTTATAAAGTTTTTCCAACTCAGATAGATGTATTGCTGTTAACACAATGGTGTTGTCTTATAAAGTTTTTCCAACTCAGATAGATGTATTGCTGTTAACACAATGGTGTTGTCTTATAAAGTTTTTCCAACTCAGATAGATGTATTGCTGTTAATACGATGGTGTTGTCTTATAAAGTTTTTCCAACTCAGATAGATGTATTGCTGTTAATACGATGGTGTTGTCTTATAAAGTTTTTCCAACTCAGATAGATGTATTGCTGTTAATACGATGGTGTTGTCTGAAAAAGTTTTTCCAACTCAGATAGATGTATTGCTGTTAATATGATGGTGTTGTCTTATAAAGTTTTTCCAACTCAGATAGATGTATTGCTGTTAACACAATGGTGTTGTCTTATAAAGTTTTTCCAACTCAGATAGATGTATTGCTGTTAATACGATGGTGTTGTCTTATAAAGTTTTTCCAACTCAGATAGATGTATTGCTGTTAATACGATGGTGTTGTCTTAAAAAGTTTTTCCAACTCAGATAGATGTATTGCTGTTAATATGATGGTGTTGTCTTATAAAGTTTTTCCACCTCAGATAGATGTATTGCTGTTAATATGATGGTGTTGTCTTATAAAGTTTTTCCACCTCAGATAGATGTATTGCTGTTAATATGATGGTGTTCTCTTATGAAGTTTTATCAGTAAGTAGATGTATTGCTGTTAATACGATGGTGTTACAGGTTCTACAGGAGTACATGCCCTTGAACATGGCTACAGAACAATTCTTATAGAGGATGCTGCTCGTGGGGTCAACCTTGATGACATCAGTAACATGAGGAAAACTCTACAAGAGAAAGGGGCAGTTATTACCAACTCGTGTAAGGTAAAGGTCATATACAAGCACTCTGTAGGTCATAAATAAATATAAGTAATGATCTTACGTCAACTTTTATCAGAGAAATCAGATAACAATAAGCTGTTCAACTGATATTGATGAATGAATTGGTATACACATTTTACAACATGCACATAGCTGACTTTATGTAAATGTGTAGCTGGGTATACATAATTCATATGAAGAAGTTATTTGTCACATCTTTCTAATTTCTTTTAAGGGAGATTCATCCCCCAAGCAACGTCCCAAGGGTTTGTCCCTAGACCCTGAGAAGGGGCTTCCAACCTGTGTAACCCTGATTAATTTCCATCAACATACACAACAAAATACTAATATTAACATTATTGACATCTCCTTAAAAACTAGGTTGACAACAAGTATCCCTTAGGCAAGGCAGATCAAAATTTTGAAATAAGATCAAGTCCTGCAGGGAGGCAGGGAAGGGTTATCCAAAGGGGCAAAATATTTGAGAATACTCAACAAATGACAGGAATTTGATGTTTTCCTTAAAATTCTACTGAAATCATCTACTTTGAAATCATATTTGTCTACCTTCATGGACAATTTGATATAAAATTCTGCATATGTTAAAAAATTTAATGCACACCTATTAAGAATTAATTCAATGTACAGTCCTTACAGATCAGAATGGTTTTCATGGTTTCATAATTGTTCCTACTATTGCTACTGCTTTTACGTTTGTGTCTTTACATCGAAGTCAGACGGGACTAGTGGGCCTCTTATTGTACGTTGTCAGTGAATCATTCATAATGTTATTTTGTATCTTTAGATATAAACATTACAGAAGTATTGGGTTAGGTGTGTAGGAGGGAGAAGGAGGCTGGAGTGTGTAATGTAATGTTAATGTATAGAGGATGTCAATAACTGTTTTTCTTTTATGGGTATCAAGGTTAAGGATCTGGTGGAAAGCGTGGACAGGCAGGTTGCTCTAGGATATCAGACAGCCAAAAATGTTGCCCTGGCTCGACGTATGGTGAAGGAAGGAATGGTGAAGACTACAGAATGATTGATCTATATTATATTTGTCCATCATCTTCCATTGTCCATTTGCCATTGTGTGAAGTTAGATTTGAAATATTTGTAGTAGGCTTGTCCTGCATATCTGAATTTTACATTGACAAATCAGGAGGTTGCTGGCTGATGCAATATTTCTGGTTTGTATTTAGAAAAAAAATTGAGCCTTAGTGTTCATTTGATTAAAAAACATGCTGGGATTTATAGTTTTGAAATATTGTCACAAATTTTTGTTGATGTCATATCATAACTAGAAACTTACCTGGTAAAAGTAACGGTCACTTTTTGTTGACCTTCAACTTTTCTAGAGATTCTTTTATATTTACAAGGATAAAGAATTTATTTGTGTGATATTTACAAAGAGATCTGTGTATCTAAAAGTATATGTCCAAGCATTCCATTTCAAAGGCAATATGTGATATACATTAACAAAATCTCTATTTTAAGAATGTATAATTTCAACTTCATGTTTACTTAACACATAAAACTCATAATACATGTTAATATTGTTCACTTTGAAAACAAAAGAGCAATAGCATAAATCTTTAACAGTTTATTTGTTGTTAATGGATATTGAGAATTTCTGTGACAAGGGAGACAACCCTGTTCATTCTTGTAAACCTTGTTTCTTCAACAAGTATTTCAAGGAATATTGCAGACATCAGTCCCAGCCTCTAACTTCTTTATATAGTCCATGCATTGTCTTCATTAGTTATTGTAGAGATTGCTGTTGACAGCCACATCTCACAAGGAAGGATTCCATCAGTTTTACCAAAATTTAAAGAACATCTGAAGAAATCTTTCTGTGTAAAGCTGACTCTGGTAAATACCCACTATTTCTGAATGACAAGACAAAGGAGAATTTCTCTTTAACTACATTCAGTAGAGTGTCAGTCTAGTAAGCCAAAATATTCAAAATAACTGATTTTGTTTGTTTGTTTTTCTGTTGAGGCTGTTATGAAAATCTTGAGGAGAGTAATTAGTTTTAGTTGAATTAAGTTGTGATAACTGTATTAAAGAACAAGTACAAGTGACTGTTCTGCAATATAATATTCATGTACCCATATTTCTATTTACTTAATCACCAGTCATACAAAGTGGCATTACTTGACTTGGTGATAAGATCATACTAATACAGCATCTATGATAGTGTATGCTTTGGGTGGGAGGTAATAACACTTGTCAAAGGGAGATAATATAATAGTAACATAATACCATCTCTGATACTAAACTGTTTATCAAGGGATACAATTACATATTAATATCTACATAAGAAATATTAAAGGAATAGAAGCACAAAGGGTTTTGAATACTTTGTAGCACTATTAAAAATGTGTGTGTAATTGTTTATATCATCCACTTTTAATGAAGTTAATCACATATAAACCTGCAGGATATAAAACTAACCTAGTCGATGAAATATTAACATGTTTAAAGTACTGTATACTGGTACAAGTAGTGGGATCTATAACATTGTATAATCTTATACTAGTAGATTAATATTTTAATCTGCATTTCTGAATGTCCAACCAGCATTACTTTCCATAATTTACATGTTTAAACTGTTTCTCTTTTCAGTATATCCAAATATTATCTAAAGAGATGAGTGTCTAAGGTTGTATTTTTTCTTGTTCATTTGGTTTGAGATGCAATGATGTAAACATGCTATATTTTATGGTAATAAAATTCACTTGTACCTGGTATATGTTTTATTCACAATAAGCAGTTACTAAATATATATAGAGCAGGTGCTTGTTTGGTATATTTCTTATGAGTTTTTAATGATAAAGTACTGACCTGCTTAAAATTTTAACCTTGGCTACCTTCTTTCTTGGAACAAATTCTGTCATCATATAGTTGTTTAATTTTTATATGGGTATACAGGTGTCCTGGTTTGTTCTGCAGCTAATTCATGGTTATTACACTTTGTACAGTCCACCTAGTCAAAATTTAGCAAGAAGCATGGGAGTATATCTACATATTTGTGTCTTTTTGTGACATTTTTGGAAAAATTTAATTTACTGGAAGATTCTCACTTGGTATTTATTTAATTTTTTTTTGAATGATGACTATAATATAGGGAAATGAAATCCTCATGGGATGCTATCAGTAATGAAGTATGCTAGGATGACAATGCAGAAATAGATTTTTTGTTTGAAATACACTTGCAGGGAATACATATCAGATGTATAGTATAGGTAGGAATCTCAATAGCTAGTCATAGAATGTGTTTGATCTACATAACAGATACACTTTACATCTCATCACCTATACTCTGGGATCAAAATTCAGCCAGAAACTTGGTCGGTTGTGATTTTTATTTTAAGTCTTGATTTATTAATGATGTTAGCTTTTTTCTATCATGTTATATCGTTTAAATTTAAGAAGCCTTCATCTAACACAAGATAATTATTCTACTAGTTATACTGCTGAATATCTCTCATACATGTATGATGAAGTGAAATCTGTCATGTGTACCAGGTATTTATAGATTGAAATTATTTTGTGCAGAAAATTATTAACAACAGTTATTATATGATTGTTTAATCTCCAGAATTGATATTTTATGATTGATATTCGTAATCCACACATTACATTGATATTCATAACCACACATTACACTGATATTCGTAATCCACACATTACACTGATATTTACAATCCACACATCATACTGATATTTACAATCCACATATTACACTGATATTTACAATCCACATATTACACTGATATTTACAATCCACATGTTACACTGATATTTACAATCCACACATTGCACTGATATTTACAATCCACATATTACACTGATATTTACAATCCACACATTACACTGATATTTACAATCCACACATTACACTGATATTTACAATCCACACATTACACTGATATTCGTAATCCACACATTACACTGATATTTACAATCCACACATTACACTGATATTCGTAATCCACACATTACACTGATATTTACAATCCACACATCATACTGATATTCGTAATCCACACGTTACACTGATATTTACAATCCACATATTACATCAATATTTACAATCCACACATTACACTGATATTTACAATCCACACATTACATCAATATTTACAATCCACATATTACACTGATATTTACAATCCACACGTTACACTGATATTTACAATCCACATATTACACTGATATTTACAATCCACACGTTACACTGATATTTACAATCCACACATTACACTGATATTTAAAATCCACACATTACACTGATATTTACAATCCACACATTACACTGATATTTACAATCCACACATTACACTGATATTTACAATCCACATATTACATCAATATTTACAATCCACATATTACATCAATATTTACAATCCACACATTACATCAATATTTACAATCCACACATTACACTGATATTTATAATCACATTTAGATATTACACAGTAACACAAACACATTACACTCACTCCAGCATTGTTTGTCCCATACTGACATGCTATACAGTATATAACACATATTTCCATGATCCATTCATGATGAAGAGAACACTATTTCTAACAATACCTCAGTTTGTATAGATCTTGATTGTTTTTGTTTTAACAATGCAAGTTTTATCTTGACTCTGAACTTGATGATAATTTTTTTCCCAATATGTTTTACTGTTCAGTGCTTATATTTTCCATGCTGCAGTTGTACTGACTTTAGAAACTCTGCCTTGATAGGTGTATATATCCTCCATGGTATGTTAATATTAACTGTTTTCAAGTTCTGTTTACTGTTTATTAGTGATATTTGCTGTATTACAGTAATATTGACTTCATCTACTCTGTTTACTACTTAGATATAGTATGCTGATGTTAATTGTGTTAAAATTATATATAGCAGTTACAAAGATAACAACATGGTATTAAATTTGTTTACACTCAATGAAACTGGATGTCTAAAACACGGTAATAAGTACATTATTCAATTATTATACTTGTATGATTGGATCCTTTGAGTATTGATACAGGGTGTGTCGATGGATTCCTGGAGTGTCAATATAAAATGTATTTTATGGACCTCTGGAGTGTCATTATACAGTGTATTGATGGACCCCTGGAGTGTCAATATACAGTGTATTGATGGACCCCAGGAGTGTCAATATACATTGTATTGAGGGACCCCCTGGAGTGTCATTATACAGTGTATTGATGGACTCCTGGAGTGTCAATATACAATGTAATGATGGACCCCTGGAGTGTCAATATACAGTGTATTGATGGACCCTGGAGTGTCAATATACAATGTAATGATGGACCCCTGGAGTGTCAATATACAGTGTATTGATGGACCCCTGGAGTGTCAATATACAATGTAATGATGGACCCCTGGAGTGTCAATATACAGTGTATTGATGGACCCCAGGAGTGTCAATATACATTGTATTGAGGGACCCCCTGGAGTGTCATTATACAGTGTATTGATGGACTCCTGGAGTGTCAATATACAATGTAATGATGGACCCCTGGAGTGTCAATATACATTGTATTGAGGGACCCCCTGGAGTGTCATTATACAGTGTATTGATGTACCCCTGGAGTGTCAATATACAATGTAATGATGGACCCCTGGAGTGCCAATATACAGTGTATTGATGTACCCCTGGAGTGTCAATATACAATGTAATGATGGACCCCTGGAGTGTCAATATACATTGTATTGAGGGACCCCCTGGAGTGTCATTATACAGTGTATTGATGGACCCTGGAGTGTCAATATACAATGTAATGATGGACCCCTGGAGTGTCAATATACATTGTACTGATGGACCCCTGGAGTGTCAATATACAATATACAATGTAATGATGGACCCCTGGAGTGTCAATATACATTGTACTGATGGACCCCCTGGAGTGTCAATATACAATGTAATGATGGACTCCTGGAGTGTCAATATACATTGTACTGATGGACCCTGGAGTGTCAATATACATTGTACTGATGGACCCCCTGGAGTGT